TTCTCGTTTAAAATGACCGGTTCTCGGATTGATACAGAACAATTTTCTTAAAAATAAATCCTGATCCCGAAAACATTGGATAAAAAATGCTCAGTGACCAGGATGCGAACTAATATCGAAATCCATGTAAAAACCGTTCAAAAATGGACAAAGAGGCTCTTCCGGAAATTGGCTTTGTTTTCAGGACGGCCCAAATTCCAGCGGTCCTTTATGTTTAGCCGATTGTTGTTTGTTTGGTCAGCGGGCGGAAATCCTGGAACAGACAATATCAAAGACCAAAGAGAGATCCAGACGAAAGGTTTGCGCAAGGTAAAACAAAGAGTTGCGCTTTACGTGAACTAATACCGACACCTGCTCGCAATACCTGGTCATCTCGTCGGAAACGATGTGTCAATATGCAAGGTGATGACACCTGTCCATTGCACCGTTATGCGCTAATTTTTTGATGCGCGAGAAATTGTTGGTATAAAAGACAAAAGTGCATAGGCAAATGTGTCAGTTTTTCGTAAAATGTCTTATTATTAATTTTCCGTTATCTAGAGAGAAATGCTTGGTGTGTCATTTGCTAAGAGCTTCCCCAAAAAATTTTTCGGAAGATCCAGAAATTTTTCAATCCATGCTCACAAAGTTTGAATAAACTTCCCCAAAACTTCCCTCAAGATGCGGGAAATAACACCTAACAAAAAAAAATCGGCACAACGGTTTTTTTACCTATAGGACAGATGTTTTCAGTACTTTTCCCTTCGGCAATGCCGATAATCAGCCCATGCCCGCAGGGCAGTAACCTATGGAGGTACCTAAAGGGTCAAAATCCTGGATTTTCGGCAATACTGGGTGAGAGGCTGGCATACAGTTCGATTTTTTGGACTGATCTTGAATGATCTCGCCGCTGCTACAGGCCATTTTCCTGCGGACATATCAGGGATGCCGATAATCAGCTCATGCCCGCAGGGCAGTAACCTATGGAGGGACCTAAAAGGTCATTTTATTCCTCGATTTTTGGCAATACTGAGTGGGAGGCTGGCACACTTTGGTTTGGCTTAGCTTGGCCTGATCTTGAATGATCTCGCCAGTGCTACAGGTCATTACCCTGCGGACATAGCTCGAACATTTTCGAGAAAACGAATTTTGCGCCTTAAAATTCTGCGTTCCTTAGGAAATCCGAACAATTCGAATGACAAAATTTGCAGTGTTAAAAATCTGACTTTAAACGTTTAGAAGCTTCATCCCTTATTGAAAATGGCTAAAACCCAACTCCTTCATTCATCCCGAAGATTGTTTCCTTACTCATTTCTTTGTCTAATATTGCTGCTCAATGACCGTTCATTTGTGGAAGCAGCGTCACGTTGTACGGCACCAGGTGGCAACGCCCTATCGATTGGTCCCACCGCCGAAGGCTGCAAAGACGAACTGTCGCCAGCCGACTGTCGCCAAAACTTCGGGATCAATGCGGCTTCGACTCTACCTAATGACCCAACGGACGGTACATTCGCTAGACCCGCAAACCATCCGCGTGCTCCGCGCTGTACTCAAGGAACTTTGACAATCCTGGCTAATAAGTGCAGAAACACCTGTGCTCTTTGTTGCGATCATCCGGATTTCAACTGCAAAAATAGTTTGGGTGGGTGTTTCAATGTAAGAAAATGGTGATCCAGAAAAGTTTTCTGAAAGCTTCACTTTTCTCTGAAGAAAAAGGTGTAGGATCCAGAGAACGCATTTTCTCTTAAAAAACTTGTCCCAAAAGCCGAACCACATGAATTAGAAAATCCCAGAAAATTTTGTAAAATTTTTGTAAAAGAATTAATATTTTTCGCATACCTCAATAAAATGTACCATAATTCCAAGTTCACTTTTCCGATCATTTGAATTGCCGCGCTTTTTGAACACCTTTTTTTGAACTACCTGTTTTTTAATTTTTTTAAGCTTATAGTTTTATTCAAATTTTTCTTATACACCACAATTTTAGACGACACTGAATGCCAAAACCGAAAGGCGGACTGCACTAAACCCGAGATGAAAAATCTAATGATAAAGGCATGTCCTGCCACATGCGGATTTTGTAATGAGGCCAAAGAGGTCGAGGTCGATCTTTCCTGCTTCGACGCTTACGGACAGACAACTTGTGAAGAGATGAGTCGACTCTGCTATGGTAAATATCGCCTTAGGACTTCAATTCACACCAAATTTGTATCGCAGTTTTAACATAAACAAAAATCTGCAAAATTTCGCGCCTGGGCAGAATGCCAAAGTTTGGGCAGAATGCCAAAACTCCACAAATCCCAATAAAACTTAAAATAAATGTAGAAATTGGCTCAAATTTTCTTCAAAAATATCTAAAAAGGTTTGGCATTCTGTTGTCATCATAATTGAGTACATTACGAATACATTTATGAAATTCTTAAACATTTTCCGGTCAGAATGCCAAATTTTTGTTAAACTTTTTGGCCAAAATATGGAAATTTTCTAAGCTGTCTTTCAGATATGAGAGCCCAAGACGATATGCGTAGAAATTGTATGAAAACCTGCCGCTTTTGCACACCTGGCCAAGGTACCACGACCACAACCGTCCGCCTTCCTCCGGGAGTGACTACGGCGATGACGACGCCACGACCGCTCGGGACCCAAGGAACAGGTAAAATATTTCGGATCTTATTAACTTGCAAAATTCTAGTTTTCAGATGCAATGACGTTCGATTGAATTTAATAGCGTTTGAATAGGCGGCTTTGGCGCAACTGCGCCAAACCACTTCTGGAACATTCTAGAAGGATGTGTAATGGCTTAAATTAATGCTGAGACTCTGGGCTTTCGATAGAGCTATTACACACCCTTCTAGAATATTCAAGAAGTGGCTTGGCGCAATCGCGCCAAAGCCGCCAATTCAAACGCTATTAAATCAAATCGAGCGTCATTGTATAAAGCAAATTGCGTCGTATTTGGACAAAAGTTCCAATTGGCAGTAGTTTGGCATTATATTGGCACTATAGTTGAATATCTCACGGAAGAGGTATTCTGATACACAGAATAGAATATGAACAAATACAATATGATGACAACATAATGCCAAACTACCGCCAATTTGTATTTACTTATCTATTAGGTTACTTACTGTAACTTACATTTGAAAAACGCATACCTTTTTCAGTAATATTTTCTCAAACCATATTTAGTCGCGCCTCCTGTTATTGGAGTAAATCCTCAAACACGTGACATTGCTACCAACTGTAAACAGAACGAATATCTGTGCGACGATCGGGTATGCTGTAATTTTCATGCCTTGGCCTACTTAAACTAAACCGAAAAAAAATATGAGCAATTCAGTTTGAATTAGCACCCTTAATGGGCTCATTGTAAGAATGGGGTTGGAACAGTTGTTTGGGCGCGAATTCAAGCTGAGTTTCCCATTATTTTTTGGTTTAGTTTATTTTTCGATTTCTATTTACCGCCCTCTCCCGAACTATCAAGCAACAAATTGTGAACTTTGCAGATTTACGCAGACATAATGGCAGAAAACTGTGCAGCGACATGCGCGGCATATTTGGGCACAGATTACGGTACTGAAGATTGCTTTGACGAAAGCGATGCGTAAGTTATTTTTCCTAGCTTCTTCCGAAATATTTTTTGGCCAGTTTATACATTTTTGCCGAAAAACGCATTTTCTGGCCAGAAAATGCAAAAAAATTGAGAACATTTCCAGAAAATTTTTGAAAGAAAAATCTTTATTACCTACGAGAATGTAAGAATGTTTATAGTTGCGAAACATGGGACGACAATTTCAACTTTTGCTACAGCACCTGGTATACTGAGGACGAGAAGGAAGCTCAATGCGCGTACACATGTGGATATTGCTGATATGAATCATAATAATATTAGTAATTTCATTTGTAATAATATGAGTAAGATTTTTTGTAGTTTATTTGTTATGTTTTGTTTTCATGCGTTTTTGTCTATAGTCTGGACATAATAAATTTTTGTTTATATTAAGCAAATTTTTCTAATACCAGATTTCTTGGTGGCAGATGTGTTTAAATTGAACAGTCCAATGGCATAAATTTGCACCATTCCCAAAGAACAGTGCTTTCCAAAATTTGTATGACTGCCTCAATTTCTTGGGCAGAACAGCCAAGTACCTTTCACTTGGGTATTTAAACCGAAGAACTCAACTCGTGTCTCTCATTCATAGTGATAGGGAGAGGAAAGAGTGATAGTGTGTGGTGTCAGATAGCGAGAGAATGTGCAGAGAAAAAGAGGAAGCGATAGACAGGCTGGCATTCAAGAGGATATGTTATGAAAGAAAAGGCGCTGCCCATAGCAAAGCAAATGGTTCTACTTTAATGACTAATAAATATTTAAAAATGTTATCGCTTCCAAATTTGCACTATTCCCAAAGAACAGTGCTTTCCAAAATTTGTATGACTGCCTCAATTTCTTGGGCAGAACAGCCAAGTACCTTTCACTTGGGTATTTAAACCGAAGAACTCAACTCGTGTCTTATATATGAAACGATGATCACTGTTTCTGGAACATTCTAGATGGGTGGGCAATGGCTCTTATAAATGCCGAATTTCTGGGAATATGATTATAGTTTTTCACAGATTGACATCACTGTATGGTGCATGACATCATGAATATGAATACCATTAATCGCCCTTCTAGAATATACCAGAATCTGTGACTAGCAGCGGTTAATATCCACGAAAAAAAACTATACTATAGTTCGACCAAACTATAGTTTTTCACAGACTGACATCACTGTATGGGTGCATGACATCATGTCTCAGGTATTATATTACCTGATAGTATAGGCAAAGCCTAGGTTTAAGTTAAAGTTTAAGAGTATTGATATTCTGTCAGTTGTCTTGCAACCGATAAAATTTACCTTTACGGCAGGTCTGTGGCATTTACGTGCGTTTGATTTGAATGCATTTGCGCGTCGTTTCTTATATGAAGTTTATCCACGCCCGCAGGCATATCCCATCTTTGCACTGCTTTTCTCTCAGCTGGCTGAATGGTCTAGTGATATGATTCTCGCTTTGGGTGCGAGAGGTCCCGGGTTTGATCCCCGGTTCAGCCCAAATTTTTTTCATTTTTGAGACATCCAATTTTCACACATTCAATTTTGTTCTTTTCAAAATCACCTGTAAGAATTCAAACTAAAAATGGAGCCAAGTAAGAAACATTTTCACCTATTTTTGCACAGAAAATACATTTCTCGACTCGAAATTATCCAAAATATAAATCTTGGATGAAATTCTGAAAAAATAAAAATGTGGGCCGAACCGGGAATCAAACCCGGGACCTCTCGCACCCGAAGCGAGAATCATATCACTAGACCACCCGGCCGCTTGAGAGAAATGCTGCGGAGGGCATACATATAATCCTGGGGAATGTCCAAATGATGAATAGTGTCATTGCTACAGGGAAAATTGTATGAATAATGACTAAACCGAGAGTTTCCTCTGGAATTCTCGCTCAGACGGCCGAAACCTCGCAACATATCTCTTCCTTTTATGGCTTCTCTCCCAGCTGGCTGACGGCCACTTGGACAAGATGCTGCTAAACGGATTCATATAATCACAGGGCAAAAAAGGTAAATGTGATCACATACAATAGGGAAAAGTATGCCGATGACAAATAAATTGCGTCAACCCTCTCAAATCTCTGGAATCAGAGTTCAGATGAAGGAATAGTCATGGAATTCAAAGGATATGCTATAGTAATTATTTGTATTTGTAAGTTGTGATTCCTTAGTTATGCTCCCGAACAGCCTAGTATTCTCAAACCGAAAATACTTCGTAATCTATAAAAAATAATTTAACATAACTGGAATTCAAACGTTGGCTTGATGGTTTCCTTTCAAATTCTCGCCCAGCTGGCGCAATTCTCCCAGCATAAGTCTTCCATTCAATCTTTCTCACCCAGTTGGCCGGATGGTCTAGTGATATGATTCTCGCTTTGGGTGCGAGAGGTCCCGGGTTTGATCCCCGGTCCGGCCCAATATTTTTGTTCACTGATCTCGAACAATTCCACAACTGATTGTGATTCCGAATTTTTATTTGCCCTTTAGAGCAAAGCTATAGCGAAAAATTACCTCTAAAATTCAAAGAGGAAATGTATAGGGTGTCCCAATTTTTTTCACCGATTTGTTTTCCAGTTATTGAAAAACTTTTCCAATTATGTTGAGCTGATTTTTACATGATAAACTAGACAAAATAGGAAGTTTATTCACACCAAACACATCGTATAAGCTTTTTTTAAAGTGCAAAAAATTCATTTTTAGAAAAAAAAATTTTTTGAAAATAAAAATTTACGTAACGATAATTTTTCGTTGTTGGGACACCCTGTATTATCCGGCCGAAAATTTTTTCATTATAGAATGCTTCCAATGTCATTTAAATTTTGTCACAAATTTTATACACACCCGCATATTATTGTACCTTTTTTACAATAGCGGTGACGCTTGCGTTTGTCGCGTCTCATTTCACACGAGCATCAATCCACGATCACAATCCATGCTCATTTCACATGCACCGTCTCTCACTCAGTGGCGCAGCCAGGGGGGTACCGGGGGTACGTACCCCCCAAAATGGGAAAATTTGAAAAAATGAGTGTAAATCAGTGCAAATTTTGGCAAAAATTTGGTCCGGTACCCCCCCCCCCCCAAAATCCAAAAGTCGGTCGCCCCCTCCACGCGGTACCCCCCCCCCCCAAAATGGCCATTTCCACTGAAACGTACCCCAAAAAAAATCCTGGCTGCGCCCCTGCTCTCACTTTGTTTTAGTTGCTCATTGTTTCCTTTTCCACCTCAATATGGCCTTCTACCTTTGCGTCATTGTTTTCGATCGGCACAGAGAGAGCATCATTTCCACGAAAAGATTTGTTACAAAACAAGAACCACTTCTGTGACACGAATACAGTCAACCCTCGATAAAGCGCGCCTCGATAAAGCGCGCCCTCGGTAAGCGCGCCTCTGATCCCGGTCCCAAGGCGCGCGCATTATCGAGAGTTGACTGTATTCGTGTCACAGAAGTGGATCTTTTTTGTAACAAATTTGGCATGTGGCGTTGTGCAACAACCCTTAAAAGGGCATATTTTAGACTAATGTTTAGGCAAAAGGCTTCGGTTCTCCTGAAAGAAAACCCGGGTCTGACCCCTATTATAGGGGTTAAATCGCTAGCTATTGTTTGAATTTGGCGGGCGTTGTTGTAAATATGTGACAAATAACCACTTCTGGACATCGAAAACCCTCACGTATCATTTTCACGTAAATGCAAGGTAAAAAAGGAAATCCCCGATAGCGATCTAGAGCAAATCTGCCTAACTAGACAAATCTATAGAGGAAAACTTGAGAAAATTTAAACTGAAAGAAATAAGAGATAAAATTTGTGCTGGATCTCATCCCTGGATGTGATTGGGCAACGAAAAAAAATGTTGGGCCGGACCGGGGATCAAACCCGGGACCTCTCGCACCCTAAGCGAGAATCATATCACTAGACCATCCGGCCACATGAGAGATACGCAATGGAACGATGGGATATGATTGCGGGCTGGTCAAATGAACGAGATGCGCATAATTGAACAGCGCAATATTGAGTTTCAAAACTGTTTCTTCGCAATTTTTACTGCGATGATCATACATCTGATATTATTGCCAGTATGTCAACTTTTTCTCTCGTTTCCAATGCTCTTTTTGAGTTTTTGAATTCGCCTTAAAAATGGCCCATTTTCACTATATTTCACCGCTTTAAAAGGAGAAAACTTGATGGAATGGGCATTTTTCCTTGTTTGTACGCGACGCCCAGAATTATGTACCTCCGATACAGGGGTCTGTGATAGCTCATTTTGTAGGTCTCGGAAAGTTGGTATACGAATCCGCAAAAATTTGGGAGCGGACCCCCCCCCCAAAAAAAAAGTGCACTTTTTGGGGAGTTCTTCTTTTCTATAGAAGGGCATACTGAGCGGCGTAGCCTCTGTGGCGCTCCCCTAGTGATAGTTCTAAGGAAGCACACCCAAAAACAGATTTGTGGTTATTTTTAACACACTTATCAGCAAACTTGTTTTACGTGAATGAAAGAGGCCAATTTGGCAAGAAAGAGACGTCCTGAGAACCTTGAGTGTTGTGAGCTAAATTTTTTAATATTTTTTGCATGATAGTTTTTTAGACCCATAAATCGTATTTATTCATCTTATCACATTAAAAAACTTTTGTACACTGAAGGGACATTTAAAGATACTCTTCTGTTTTTCTATGGTGTACATTGACATAAAGTGTCTCTATTGGCTTGACTAGTTCTCCGCATTCCAATTTCAGGGGAAGCACCTGAAGCAAAATATTAGTACTACCTAAAAAAGGAATTAGAAATTATCATCGGGTGCCTCTAAGTCGCATGGTGTCTTTCCCGACCCACGAGCAGAATAACCCACTTTTTGAAGGTCCCGGACCCCAAACTCGCGAGTACCCCCCTAAAACCCATGATTTTAGGGGGGGTTGTCAATGTCAGAATTGGGGGTGACATACGTGAAAACGTGACATCCGTGTGTCACGTGGGTCACGTAAAAGGGCAAGTTTCGCTGCGCCGCTCGGATCCGGGCGTGTGATACGTCAATCGCTTCGTCTCGGCGAGACAAGACGATTGGTACCGGTCTCGCCGACAAAGATCGATTCTGCCGGGATTTATGGCTTCCGGAAATCCGGAAAATCCTGGATGGCCATGGGTGCCGTCAAGCGGCGAAGCCGCGGGGGCTCCTATGGAATTTTAGCTAAAATGATATTGTTATGATGATAGCACACTTACAGCTAAATTGTTGCAATGCTCCTTTTTTCGCTCAGATTTTTTTTGCTACAAATTTTCTTTTTTTTATTTCAAGTACCAATTTTTAGAAGCACCGATCAATACTTACCGGTGAACCTTCGGCCCTCTCGAACACAAACTTTTTGATCAAGCGAACAATAATGACTCGTATTTGGAATTGCGCAAATCTCATTCCAATGCAACTTCTTGGCCCAAATCCAAAAGGAATGTAGGCCAGCGGGTCGCGCCCAGCCATTTCATCCGGAGAAAACCTAAAATTCCACTTGTAAACATACGTGACTTGAAATCTAAAATTGCCAACCGTTCGGGATCGAACTTTTCCGGCTCCGGAAAGTAGTCTGGGTTGTGGTGTATCGCATAGATTGGAATGTTGACAATGTCGCCTGGCTGGAACTCTATTCCATCGATTGTGATTTCCTTCACACATTCTCTGTTGACCCTATAAGGAATCCGTTTTTGTGTGTTTAGTGGAATACAACTTTTTATAATTGTGTGCCTATGTGTCTGCTTATATGTCTGTCCGTGTGTCAGTCTATATCTAGATACTTTTATATCTATTTTTAAACTCTGTACCTAAAAATTCTAGACTATTCTAAAACTCTCCAGACTTTCCCCTTTTGATGCCTTCCTTAGTACATTTTTCCCTTCCCTTTTGAGATATTCTCTTTATAAGCTAACCTCGGAGCAACAGGATACATCCTCAACGTTTCCTGGATCACCTGTTCCAGGTACTTTAATTGCTGGAGGTGTTCATAGCGCACTTCCGGCCGCACCTCGTCTCCCATGATTTCCTCAATTTCTTCGTATAGCCTCTGTTGGACTTCAGGATGCAGAGCAAGCATATAAAGTATCATGCGCAGTGTCGTGGGTACTGTAGAATCATAGCTGAAATCAAATTATTGAGGCCGTTATGTGCTACCGTATTCCCTGGCATTAGAGCCCCGGGCTATAATTTTTCAATCGAGCTCAAGATAATAATAATTAGAAGGAATAGGGTAATTGTATTTCGCAAGACATAAGTTCCAAAACTGCGCAAAAGAGGTCAATCATCTTGTGTGGTCCTTTTATGTGTGGTGCATTGCCAAGTCTTCTCTCTGGCGATCAATCAAGTTACGCAGCGCTGAGTTCAATTTTTGCTATAAAGACACCATGAGATAAACTTTCGAGAAAATTTATTCTATTCCTCACAGGCTAAACCCAGCGCAACTTGACTAAATCGATCGAACAGAGAGATGACTTCCCACTGCACCACTCGTAAAAG